TTGTTTCCTATAATTACAACATCTAATTTTATTTACTAGAACGTTTTCTTTCAGTCCAATTCAGAGGCAGATGGGAACTCATCCGGAGCCTGCCTCCGCCGTGATTTCCGTCCCGTGTCGAGCCTTTAGATTTATGCGCATTTTGCATATTTCTTTTCCTCCTCATTTCAAAAGCAACAAAAGTGACTTTGCCTCCGCTCCTGATTCAGCAGCTTTTTTTCCTTTTTTTGTTGAGGGATGGTGCTCCAATTTTCATTGCGCGACTTTTATGACTTTGCCTGCCGCTGCTTTTGACTTTTATCGAATGCAAATTGTTTTATAATAATGCAATCAAATCTTTGTCAACTCTGTTTATTGATGTGTTTATTTTGTTTTGGTTTTTCCTGATAATGCCGGCAGCTGAATAACATTTAACAAGTGGAATAAATTTCGAGGGCAGCCCTCTTGAGTGTCGAAGTTAACAAGCTTATGATGTTTACTAATAGGTTTTCCACCTGGAGTCATTGGGGGTTCGGAATAATATTGCTTGTCAGGATAACTGAATTCTTTTTTTAAGTCAATAACTTTTTGGGACCTTATAAAAAGGTGGATTATTTAAAAATCTAGACAATTACAAAGAAAGACAAGCGTACATTGTCTTTATAGGCTTATTATGTGGACTCTATTTAAATTGAAATATTTAATTAGGCCTGTTGTTTAAATAACCTTGCTTTTATCAGCCTACTGAAAGTACCAAAATAAATTTGACTGAAAACTTAATTACTCTTGCACTATTTCCCCAGGGAATACAAACGTTTTCAATTTATTTGAAAATGTATTTCCCTCAACATGACATGCTGCCTTGAACGCCAACTCTTGGCATATTCCATGTTATACAAAATACAATACAAATTTAATACTTGAAGCTGAACAAACACCATGTAACTCCTTTAAATTCCCAATCTTGGCAAGAGCTGCACTGGTGACGTGACTAAGCTAGAATAGAGAAGACCATCCAGAGTTACCAAAGCATTTACTGCAGCGTCTCTGGAAATGCTCCTTTACTTGTACTTACACTTCTTTTATTGTTTCCTGATTTCATTCGTCTTTTTGCTGGAAATGTACTTAAATCACGGGAAACGTGCCAAGCAACCAAACAAGGACAATATAAGGAGGAGCGACATTTACAAGGCAGAGAAGGTCACTAGCTGGTGTTTTAAACTGGCGCATTTTAATGAATTGATCATCAGCCTGGCGTGCGGTAAAAATAACAAATTTTATGCATCGCACAGCGGTAACTACAATTATGGAAAAACATCAATGACAACGGCAATAACAACTACAACATCAACACCGGCAACAACAAGAACCATTCCATGGAACGGCGACAACAATAACAATAATTGTATTTACACATAATTGACCATAATCCCCAGCAGCATTCTCGTTATTCTGCCCCTGTCCCCTCGAAAGACAGATTTTTATACCCGCTATTTGTACGTTTTCAGGGGTATATTGTATTCATGGAACGCTATAGACTCGAAGATTATGTATTTTATATTAAATAACATATGATATCCTATCAGTCCTTAATAATTCTGATAGATGTTTGATCTCCTTTAAAGAAAGGATCGACAACTTTCAATATAACTATTTTAAGTCTTAGAAGATAACATTAAATTACTTTTTTCTACAGCGATTAGATTCACTTTAACATTATACATGTATGGTATATATTTGATACATTTGAATACATTTACAAGTAATCATAAACTAACAGTTTTAAGTATTAAATTTTTACTATATTTAGCGTTTAAAACTAAAAGGTTTTGATGCCAGTGAAGCTAATGCTTTGAGTTATGCAACATACATTTTAAAGTACATCGGGTACAGGGTATTCCGCTGTCCTATAATTCCCCTCGATTGTGCTCCTTCCTGTTTTCTCTTTGGATTGTTGTTTTCGTTGTTTTGGTTAAGGCCCAACACCAACTTCAACACCCAATTCGGTTGGTTGCCCATGAAAATGGCCGCAGGCGACATTTTATGTTGCTGCTGTTGGTAATGTTGTTTTTCGCCGAGCTCTGTTCACATTGTCCGACTGTAGTTAAATTTAAATGCCAGTAGGCGAGGCGACAAGGACTTCCACTCGGGGCAGGACCATAAATTAAATAAAATGAAATGAAATAATTTGGTCACGCACTTTCAACTGTTGACATTTGCCTTAACAGCTCCGCCCAGAAAGAGTATTATTACGGATAATCCACGCCCGTTCGCTTAAAGTCGCCACATTGATCCCACGACTGGACTGAAATCAATGTTTTATACGCCGGCAAATACATGCAAATTGTGTGAGCTCCGTGCTGTTGGCAGTGCTGCATATTTATGGGCCGCCGAATGTCGGCAACATGCACACTGCGAAATCCACTTCATGACCGAAAATTAGTTTTTAACCCACAAAATAATCCCGAATGACATAGGGATGGCCTCCGAGCAACAGTAGCGCGAATATAAAAAAGCCCGGCAGCCACAGCGAACATATTACAGGGACGGACCCTTCGTCCTGTGTTGTCCGTGGTACGTTGTCCGTAGTCCTTGCTTGCCGGAAGTTGTAAAGCTGCCATTTCTCGGCCATGTTGTTGATGTTGCCACTGCCACCGACTTGGCTTTTCGAGCAACCATTCGCGGCCTCGTAATGCGGTCATTGTTATTGCAATTGTTGTTGCTGCCGGGTAGTTGGGTAGCGCATTTGTTGTATTAACTTTTTCCAAGTGGCATGCAGGGCCGGCAGCAGCAGCAACACCAACAATACCCTCTCGAACACCACCCCCGACGTGGGCCATAATTTATTAAAGCCTGCACCAGAGTGCTCCAGCGTCGGGCCAGCGCCCCCGGCACACAATTGAAATTTAAGCAGCAGCAGAAGCAGTGGCAGTGGCAAGAGGGCAGGAGGGGAGGGGGGAAGGAGGGCAGAGGGCAAAGGGCAGCGCTTCGAAGAAGTTGCAGAAAATGCGAAACACTGGAGGAATCCCCCGCCTGCAACGCGCCACCAGGGAAAATGGTAATCGAAATGTTCGCCGCACGAATCAACGCAAACAAGGCACACAGAAAAAAATATAATAAATATATTTATTATTATATTTAACTAATTCACAAGCCATATACACAAAAACAATAAATTAATATTTAATATTTCTAAAAATATTCAATTTGTTTGGGAACTTAATTAGGTGATTCTAGATTTGTATAGAATTGCTTAGGTTTAGCCATAGGATTACTTTTAACAATGGGAGAAGATGAACAAGAGAATTTATAGCTTCACTATATATTGGGTATATTATATCTATGAAATAAATTGAATGAATTATGAACTAGTTTCTGTTAAAAATTGATATCAATTTACGATTGAATTAGCATTATTTTTATCTAATTAAAAATAAAATTATCACACCAAATACAGTATGTTTAACTGTTAGTTGTAGTTGATGTTTAATAATGGGAGATGTTGTCAAATTCTTTTAAAACCATAGCTAATTTTTGAAATAGGGAAAATACTTTCCCCAGTGGAGCCCTGAGCAGCGGTGGGAGTTGGCCTGCAACACTGGCCAGTTCCCAGTTCCCAGTCAATGTCTTGCCTCCTTCGCCTTTTTTCTGGCCTCTTTCTGCAGTCAAAGTTTTTGGTCGAAAACTTTTTGGGGTTCGGGGAAATAATTCATGAAACATGGCGAGCGCGAAACGCGAAAAGCGAACATTTTTGTGCCTGTGCCGAATCTGATTGTGACACAAACGAATTGTTCTGGTTGTCGTCGACGGAGTTTTGTAGGTGGTGGAGGTGGAGGAGGTGGGGGAGGTGCTCTGAAACAGGACCGCCGGTCGGTCGCATATTTATGTGCCTATTTCGCTTTTTTCTATGTGCCTGGGAGCATTACTCTTCTTGGCATGCAAATTTATGGTGTGTCCCAAAACAATTGTTATTGTGTTTTCAACTTTTGCTTGATTTGTGTGTTTTAAGTGATTCCAAATGGGTCGCCGGGGGATTGAGCGGGGTGTCCTCCGGTTTTGTTGGCAATTTGCGGGTAGCCATTCCCCAATCCACCTCCAGTCGCTGATAATTTCTTGGCTGTCATCGAGCCAGACGCGCACTGCATATCTCAATGCAATTCTAAGCACCCAATAACCATAAAACACTTTAAAGTCCCAGCCAAACTTGCTATTTCGTCCGCTGGATTCCCCATAGACTTTTGTTTATTTGTATTTCCGCAAACAATTCGACTGGCAGTCGGCGAAACTTCTGCGGCCATGCAATTGTTGCCACTATTCTGGTAACTTCTCGGTCCGGCAGTAGGCCACTTCCTGCAGTCGTCGCGGAGTAAGTTCAGCTGCGTCCGCATGCAATTCGTGAATTTTTGAAGGCACTTCTTTTGTTATTCCGGCTCCGGAATATACCCCACCCGCCTATCCCCCTTACCCTCCACCATCCACCGTGTTTTCCCGACCCAACTTGCAATATGCAAACGGTCATTTCGTTAATGAGCGTGGGGCAGCTAAGGAAGGTTGAGGGGGTAAAAAAAAAAAGAAAAGTCAGGAGCAGCAGTGAACTACAACTTTTACAGGGCATCCGGCGGATGAAGAGGGTTTGGAGGAGGAGCAGGAGGAGGAGGAGGAGGAGGAGGAGGAGGTGGCTATGGCGGAAGGACCATGACCAGGAGGCAGTGGCTATAAAGCCGACTGCTTAGATAGACAGCAGCCCCTGTTCCCAGTCTGCTGTCCGGATGACTTGGTTTATTTTACGTAATGAAATGAAATTGAAATGAATGTTTTATAAACCGGCAGAACTGTTGCCCCATCCACTCACTGGAAGAACATAAAATTATGATAAAAACTAAGAGCTTACATATAAACATAATTGCAATGCTTGTTTTTATTCACCTCCCCCTTTTTTTTTGTGTCTGATTTTCAATACAAATCATTGTAAATGCTTTAAGCTGTTCACTCTGAATTAACATAATTAAAACACAAGCATAAATATTTATGAGCAATTTGCAATTACGTGTTTAATGACAAATACTTATGAGTCGAAATATTTGAGGAACTTTACACATCGAATTTGCATACAATTGTCTGACATAAAAGTACAAATAAAAATCCTTCGTATAAAAGAATTGCAGTGAACGGAGTCCGGGGATTTAATTAAATTTGGCTTAATGTTGTCACCGCACGAGAAATGCTGCAGCAGTTGCTGCTGCTGTTGCTGCTGCTTGTTGCTTGTTGCATGTTGCTGCTGTGGCTGTCGGCAGGCGACTGGAATTCGGTTATTAAACATTCTGCAAATTCTGCTCACGGTTCTCGTAGGCCAAGAATTTATCGAATTCAATTAGTATGGAGAATACAGTCTCGCCTTGCCCACTGCAGAGAATAATCAGCATGGAATCACCCACAAAAGGTTATTGAACATACATACCTGTTGATCAAATCTCTGAGAGTTATTTTCATCGGATCCTTGGGCCTAACCATGTCAAAGATCTCATCCTTCAGGTCCTGAAAGTTTACCTTCACCGTCTTTACAGCTTTAATGCCCTCTTCTATGCCATCGAAGAAATACCGCAGAGTTTGGGCTGTCAAATATCCTTGCTGATTTATGTCTAGGATGCGGAAAATGTAGTGCATGGCTGAAAGAGTCTTTAGGGCTTTTGGTTGGAAAGCTATTTATGAAGTGCTTTAATGAAGATCTCACTTTTCGATATTCCATGGCAAAGTAAAAGTCCAGAAAGGTTTTGTAGTCCATTTCTCCATTATAAGTACGGCACACCTCAAATGCTCGATCCAGGAAAATGGGTGATAAACTACCGGAACCGTATTGAGACAACTCCTTTTTGCTCAGCATGCCATCGTGATCCCTATCCAAATCAAGGTAGTTTTCATACACCTCCAAAACGGCTGGCATTGAAAACCAGTTCCCCGTCTCATTAACCACCAAATCCCTGGATTTCGCAGAATCACGAAGCTCCAATAACTGCGATAGCAACCCCGAGGATACTATATCCTTTATTCGAATACGTCTCGTATGAAGATGGTCCAGGAAGAAAAATACCTTCTTAACCACCGTACAGACATAAAATCTTTCGAAAGAGGGATGCAAATGATTACTGACTTGAGCCAGCGTGGGGATAATGTCCGTAATATAGCATTCCAGATCGATTTCATTTAAATATCCCTGCCCGATTTCATCGTAAAGGGAAAGGCCAATGAGTCCTTGGATGAGCAAAATTCTACGCATCACGTAGTTATAAATGGAAATTATCTCCACCATGTCGGCACAATTAGACGTTGCCAGCAGTTTGAAGAAAAGTTCCACTGTCATAATTTTTTTACACTTGTCGTTCACTTCCGAAACTACTTTTAAGAAATCATCAAAACCGATGAGCTGTTGGTTTGATTTCGTAGTTTCAGTTGCATATTTCTCCAGTATTTTCCACATTTCATTCAGTTCATCGGTATTGAGTAGCTGGTCCGCCTTACTCTGCAGATAAATCGAATGGGCATTCTTACAGAGAGGCTGTCGAATTTTATCGTCTGGTTTTGGTGGAGGATCAAAGAACTTCGGTATTTGTTTATAAGAAGGATGGTCCTTGGCGTTGCATTGTTTCAGCGAGACATTCTCATCAAAAGCCTCCGAGGAAACCTGCAGATTCGATTCTAACTCCATTGTTTGTACGGTAAAGAAATAAACTCAGCAAAACAAAATATGTAAATAAATTTTGTTTTGATATATGACAAAAGTGTGACAGATAAATAATAAAAATAGAAAAATAAAATTGAGACATATATCATGACCGAATACTTGAATAAATCAATTGATTCATTTCGTTATATCTTGAAAACTAAATATACCATTTAAATTATATTTTACCGAGACTAGCAGTAAAAGTATTTTCTTAAAGGCGTCTCGTTTTTATGGTAGGTAAAAGTAGGTTTTATGCTGAAAAAACTTATTACATTTAGCGGTTTAACAGCTATTAGCTTGTCACTATAACAAAAGCTTGAGCCCTTACCTTATTATTTTCTATAATCGATAATAAATTGGTAGTACATTTCCTAATTTAATGTGTAACACCCTCCGAGCTGCATTTAATTTCCCATGCTTTCTATTTTCAGGTTCCACCATTAAGGGCGTCGTGGCCATATTGAATTGTATCCTGGCACGTCAGCTATGTTTCGAGGATCCCTCATGTTCGGCCATACTGGAAATAATACCGCGTGTCTGTGGGCCCATACCAGGTAAATAAACAAACTAGCCAGCACAACATCATTCAAATCGAATTGATATTTTTGCCGCCCATTGATGAAGTGTTTACACAAAATCCATCGGTTTTTGTGTCAAGTATTTGCAGAGCTCTTGAGCTCAACGCTGATTATGCGCAAGTTTTGGTCATTTGAGAATTCATTTCCGCGGCCAGTGCGAGTCGGTTGAATATATATTATTTTATTTTTACTTTGTTTTTTATTTGCCCGTGGGGGTAGAGGGGGTGTTGTGTGGCTGCTTCGACAACAGTGTAATTATTTCAGCGATTTTTGTGTGTTCCGTGAGCAGGAGCGCGTGCAATAAAACAGTAAATAACGGTGTACACTTAAAGCGCAACTGAATGCCAGGAGGAGGATCGGCCACGAAACGCCAGCAAAAGGCATTTGAATATTCAAATGCCCCAGAGAACTGCGACGCCCGTCGAGTCGATGGCCTGCTTCTGCAATACCCTGTTCAAAAAATATTGTTGGATATGCTGCACTTCAACGCATTGCACCCCTGAGTTATACTTTTAAACTCCAAATAATCTATATAATTTTAAAAATTTGTTTTTAATTCTACTATAAGCTGCTAACTATTAAAAATATATCTTAGGAATACCAGAACGCTGTAATGTAATTATTAGGCCATATTTTTTAGTTATATAGTTATTCAATTTTCACGTTGTTTCTGGCGCAGATTTTATAGCCTAATTAAATAATGAAAGCTTTTAGAAAAATACCACTTAATCCATATTTTATATTATTTAATTTAAACTTTAGTTTGGCAATCTTTGTTAGTATGGTGAAAGCAACAATATATTGCTACAACTCTAAAAGCTTTTAAAAATTTCAAAAACCCTCTAATTGAAGCTTAAAAAACATAGCAAAAAATATTAAATATTTTTTTCTGGTTGGATATCGGTATTATTTCTTTAATTAAAATACCAATCACTTTAATGGGTATTCGCCTGCTTTAACATTTGACATTTAATCTCCTGTTTGTTTTTCTCTTGAAAAGTATGTGTGGTAAGCGCACATGACCTGAAGGCGCAAAAGTGAAAAATAAATGCGTGGATGACGGGGTCCTTCTTATCCGGGTACCATGCCCACTGCCCACCCACTTCTCACCCACTTCGTTCACCTTCCCATTCAGTCTGCAGCTCAAACAAAGGCGGGAGAAAAAGTTAATTTATAAATTATTCAGTAATTTGTTTTAGACTCCGCTTTAGCCGGTGCCTCACCCACCGCAAGAGCAACAACAATGGAAATAAATTTCTTTTGTGCCTCGCTTTGATCCGCCCCTCATTCAAAATGTGTATCTAAGCCGGGACTTTTCCGCGAACACTATCCACATCCACCGACCACTCATTCCCGGTTCATCGTCATGGTCGCGTAGTTTGTGCCCTGTTCTTCGAGGCTTCGCCCGCGTATCCTGCGCATAAGTCCGCTCTTATATTTAATTATTAATGTTCATTCAGTCCGGCCAGCGTCTTGTGGCATTTCTCAGCTTTTCCGCCCGCCACGAAGTGGCTTTCACCTTTGTTCGTTTTGTGAGAAAACCTGGCCAAAAAATCGCATTTAAAGCGAAGCATTATCGGCTTTGGTTTGCTCGAGGCGGACTTTCTCTTTTGGTTTTGCACTCGGAAAAATCTTGTTGCTGAATTTCCTAAAAATCGGCTTTCGAAACTTGGTTTGTAATTTTTAATAATTTCGAAATTTCGACCTAAAGCCTAAATTTTAAAATCCATAACTTTTCTCACATAAATCCGATTGGAAAGTTTTGGTCGATTTTTTTGTTATTTTCATTTCGTATGTCCTTTCCTAATTTTTAAAAAAAGGCTTTGTTTAAAAGTGTCCAAAAACTCCACATTTAAGGCCATAACTTTTCTTAAAGACTTCCGATTCAAAGTGACATACTTCTAAATGATTGTGGTTTAATTCTCTTACAATTTGTGTTTAAATCTTGGTTTTTATTATTTTTTCGATTTTTCGTGATTTTGACAGTGTTACCCCTTTCCAAATTTTCCAAAAAATGGCTTTGCAGATAAGTGACCGAAAACTGCACTTCTAAGCTCTAACTTCCAACTTTTCTTACAGACATCCGATTGTGGTTAATTCTAAATCATGGATTTTTTTTTTTGGTATTTCTCATTTTTATGACGTATTCCCTTTCCAAATTTTCAAAAAATGGCTTTGCCATAACCTTTCTCAGAATAATCCGATTTGGATGTGTATACCTCTAAAAACGCGTTGTTTAATGCTCTAAAAACCTTCGTTTTATATTTTAAGACATTTTGTATTAAACATATATTGGAAAGACAAATTATCAAATTTTTCTCTAAGTGCTCATGTATTTTATTTTGATTTCTCTACGTCAAGGGCTCATTTCCGTTCATAAATTAAAGCAGAGAATCGAGCAAGGCTAGAATCTTTAGGGCTGGGGCTTGGACCACTCGACGCACAGAATCAAGTGGTCGTAGCCATGGCCATTGAGGATTTCAATGGCAGCGGCTGCATCCTGGCGGAACTTGAAGTGCACATAGGCGAATCCCTTGCAGAGACCGGTGTTCTTTTCACGGGCCAAGTACATCTTGGTGTGTGGACCGATTTTCTTAACCAGCTCCTCGAGATCAGCCTCGGTCATGGACTCGGATAAGTTTGAAATGCGAACCGCCGACGAATCGTCCCGCTCGCGACCCCACCCCTTGCCACTGACCCCGCCCCCGCCCCCCGCCATCCTTCATGAATGGCGGTACGTATTTGCCGGTCTTCCCAGGATCGCTTATGGCAGCGGCGGCTGCGGCATTGGCCTTGCTCTCCATCAGGGTCTTGCTGTCCATGGAGGTGCCCTTGTAGGGACAGTTGACACTCCAGTGCTCGCCATTGCAAATGCGGCACTTGGCGATGTTCTTGCCGGCATCCAACTGAGTTTCGTGACTTTGGTCGAACTCCTTGGAACCGATGAACTGCATAAATATCTCCTCCGAGGCCATGGTCGTATGGGAATTGGGCCCGGGCTTGTCCAAGCGGGAATCCCCGAACTTCACCCAGCTGCGACGACGGGCCACCGCCTTCGGGACAATTTGCTTCTCGATCTTAAAGGTGCGCACCACCTTCACCTTCTTCCCGTCCTCGTTGAACTTGTACTCCGTCACGTACTTATAGTCGCCCTCGATGTACTCATTGGAAGGCGGCAGTCCTCCCACATAGTCCGCCTCCACCTCATCGGCCCAGGAGGTGTTGAAGGGTTTCATTTTTTTTGATATATTTTTCACTTTGGCTTTGCCTTACAACTGCTACGAAATTGATCAAAAATCACTGAGATACTGTGTTGTCCTACTCGAAAGCCATTGGAATTTTACAAGGCAGCCTGTTTTGATGGAACTTATCTTGCAAATCCCACGAGAGGATGAAAAACTCTGATTATTCATTAGATTTAGAGTTTTCAATGTATTGAAATGTATAGCTTAAAATGTGCTCAAATAGAATGCCTTAAAATTAAGAGAATCAAACTGAGTACATAGTTTCTTATCTGCAGCTTAACTGAGAATGAGAGATAAGCGCTTCAGCACAGATAAGAGTCTGTTTGAGTCCGAGCTCTAGTCTAATCACCATGGGCCTTATTAGTTTACTTTCACTGTTCTAACCTTTCGGTCGCTCTAAAATGTTGCTCTTGAAGCACCCAAAAACCGAAACAAAGCCTGGAAATCAATGAGTTCTGGCTCCGTGATCACTGTCGCTGTGGGGAGTGCCTAAATTTGGATACAAATCAAAGGCGTTACGATCTCTTGGACCTGCCAGATAATGTAATATCGACAGAGGTTAAGTACGAGGGCTTACAACTAAATGTGCTGTGTAAGTGAAAATGTAATGGCTTCTATTATCAGTTTAATTTTTCCTCCAATCCTAGGGAGTGACGGTCATAGGTCCACCTATGACCTGGACTTTATCTTTGATTCCCAGCTGGATCAGTTGATAAGCCGGCGATCAAAGTCCACCAATCTGACGCCCTGGAATCGTTGTATTATTTTGCAGAATGAAAGCCACTTGAGATTCTCTCTGCCTCAGCTCTATTCCAGTGATGAAGTACTCAAATCTTTGGTTCAATCTCTGGTTCGCTATGGCATTGTTTTCATCGATGATGTGGCTCCTACTCCAAGTATGACCGAGTCGGCATTGCGACGAGTTTTCCCCTTAATGAAAACCTTTTTGGTGAAATGTGGACTTTTAGTGATAAGCCCGATCACGCGGATACCGCTTACACCAAACTCTATTTGGGTTCACATACGGATAATACGTATTTCTGCGATGCAGCTGGACTACAGGCCCTACATTGCATCGAACACTCGGGTTCCGGTGGTGAAAATTTCTTTGTGGATGGTCTGCATGTGGTGCACGAACTGAAAAGTCGCTTTCCCGCCGCCTATGATGTGCTGTGCAAGGTGCAGGTTCCTGGAGAGTATGTGGAAAAGGGGGAGCACCATCGCCACACCGCCCCCATTATCCAGCTGGACCCCCTGACTCAGGAGTTCGTCCAACTCAGGCTCAATGTCTACGATCGGGCTGTGTTCGATACAATTCCTCAATCGGAGATGCCCGATTTCTATAAAAGTCTGCGGCAGCTGTTGCAGATTGTTAAAGATGAAGAGCAGCAGTGGAGTCTGAAGCTTCTTCCCGGCAGCATTGTGCTCTTCGATAACTGGCGGGTGCTCCATGGAAGACAGGCCTATACAGGAAGTCGCACCATGTCCGGTGCTTACGTGCAGCGAACGGATTTCCTGAGCAAGGCTCGAGTCTTGGGAATTATTGAATAAGCGTTTCGAATAATAAAGAAGATTTTATAAAAATAAAAATAGAGATACATTTTGTTTATCTATAAGCTCCTCTTAATATTTTCTATACCAAAATATGGAAAACAAATCAATCAATGTTCAGTCTTAAAACTCTTGGGAAACCTTTTCATTTGTTTATCCATAGTTCCTTAAAGATTAAGCTATTTTAAGCTGAATAGCTTTTCAAATTTATTACATTTTATGAGGCGAGACTTTTTCATAAAAATAAGCACATACAAAGAATTAATAAATAAAATTTTTTGTTTAAATCTAAAGAGCAATGCTCTGAGTCGCAACATCTACCAAGTATTTTATATTGTTCAAACATATTTTTCTCTGTCAGAACTGAGCTCTTCCCCAATTCAATTTCGATTGCAAATGCCAACGCATCATAATAAAAAGTTACGATTACAATTGCTGGCCAGCGTCTAATTTTTGTCATTGCGGAGGTGGAGCAAATACAGAAAACCGGCAACAAAAATCATTTGGCATTTGTTTTTATGGCCAGCGTCTCATGTGGGTTTGTGTATATGTGTTTTGTGTGTGGCATAAACAAACGCACTTTGAACTTTTTCATTTAAAAGTGAAATTACTTTTTGTTGGCCGTGCAGGTTAATGGCTGTCGCGTTGCTGTTCTTTAAATGCCCTCCAAATATGGATGTGCCTTAAAGAGGGCGGGCGAGCGAACAGTGTCTGAATATTTATGATAATTGCATTTCATGCAGGTTTTCCCGCCCGCTTTTCCCGTTTTCCCGCTTTTCCGCTTTCCCGCATTTCACCCAGCTCTCATATGCGCCGGCACGACCCGGGAAAGCCTTTAAAAGCAGCTTCGATGCCCCAGCTGGGCGATAAATATATTTTTGCTCGCTTTTTCTTCGCCGGAAGTTGCAGCGCAGCAGTCGTGCCTTTGCATGGCATACTTTTCGGCATTCCACTTCCGTTTTAAAACGCGGCACTCACTTTGAGCCGCCGTGGCACTTGTCGATGGTTCAATAAAATCAACAAGCGCACACATTGCAACATGGACTCAAAGGACACACATGTTTCCTCGCAGGAAACAGGACATTCCGGCCGAAATAGTTCAAACACAAAGTCCCCGCTTAACTCACTCGTAATTAATATGCTCGATAATAATTTATGTGCCCTTGAATGGCTAGCTAAACTTAATAAATGACTCATAAATTTCACCTACAGACGACCATAAAAAGCCGAAAAATAATAAAAACAATGGCCTGAGTAGGGGGAAAACAAATATCAAACTAAAATCAAATAAAGCACGGCAAAAAAAAGAGGGAGAACACACACAGCGGGACAGCAACAACAAACAAACAAAGAAATCATTGAACCAATTCAGCGACCAACTCAACAACCGGAAACGCGTTTCGAATAAAAACGAATTGAGGACTTAACAATAACAGTAAAAGGCAAGGGCAATGGCGGCGCCAGTGAAAAAAAAGCAACACAAACAGCAAATGGCGTCGCTTGATGGCGACGAAGCATAAAAACCACTCGCCTTGGCTTTATTTTTTACGACCGCCCAGCATGCAATGACGAAACCAAAGCCAGGTGAAACTAGCCAAGAGGAACCGGTGGCCAGGAGCTGCGGGCCAAGAGCAAGACATAGTTAGGTGGCCAGCCATCAAATGCACTCACCACACGGAGAGAAAGAACTTAGTTTCGAGCCTTTATTTTAAGGGGTAAATGATAAATACGCCAAAAAGATCAGGGTTTTCTGTTTTAAACTATTATTGTTTTATTTTCGAAAAATAGGCAGTTATTTGACTTTGTAGTTCCTTGAGCTGGTGGCACTTACAGAATAAATAACGGATGAATTACTTTCTGTGTATAAAAGATCTAACAATTTGTGCTTTAAAAATAAAGCAAGTTCAAATCAAAGTAAACCTTTAATTTTTAAATGTTCATATCGTAACCAAAAGTAAGAAAAATCTGTTAGACATAAATTTATATTTTGTTCATTAAAAGAACATATATTTTCATATTATTAGAAGAGAATTATTAAAGAGCGGGCTCTTTTGACATGCGACCTCTAAATTAGTGGTTCCTATTCATCATTTTGGTATATTTGTATGCTTTCAAAACAGCATATTAAACCTCTTTTTGTGAGAACATAAGTACTCTGCGTTTCGCCTCTGATCTGCAGCCAACGAGTTTTAATTGACACCACGAAGGGTCCCCGAAAAATCCCCAAATCCAAGAACCCGAAAGGAAAGCAAAAAAAAAGTAAAACTGTGCGGAACCAAGGGGCATAAAAATGATGGATGCCTGTGAAAAATGTCACTTGTTGCGCAGTCGATGTGTGTTACCCCGGTTACCCCGAACTGTCCTTCGCCTCCCCCGCAAAAAACCCCATCGGAAGCAACTTTATGTTCAACTAGCAAATAATCATGTCCGGTCTGCATGGGACAAGGGCGTTATTGGAGGGGTCGTGGGGCAATCACAGGGGTTACCAAACGCAGGAGGAGGTTGTTGGTTTGGGATCGGGTCAGTTGAGTGACGTGAACCACATGGCGTGGTTCCATTATACTGGGCTCCCATTGTCCGGCAGTTTGCTTGTTTTGCTTTTTGGCGATTTTACGGCTTATGACGAGCCAAACGAGTAGAGTTCCTATGTGTGCGTCTCCGACTCTGCTGGCTGTGTTTGTGAAGTGTTGGCGTAGCCGGGTTTATTAGTAGGGCTTATGTTTTATGGCCAAAAGGACAATAGATGGCCAACAGATGTTTGCCTTTTGTTTGCCGTAGTAGTTGTCATATGCTCGAATAAGCTGTCACACACCCACGTATATGCGCTGGCTTGTGTGTGTTTCTATGTGTAACATAATTTATTATGTTATAAAATATTATCCGGGCCACGTTCCCTGCGCAGAGCTTCATTGGCCGCTTAAATCGACCGTTTTGTTTGGAGACTCAATTATTCATATTGTAGTTGTTGTAACCTCTCTCTCGGCTCTTATTATGACATGTGTCTGGTTTGTAGTTGTCGGGCTGCCATTTATAACAACTGCCATTGGCCACACCTGCACTGGAAACAATTCTGTGTAATGTGTAATATGTGTAATTTTAAAGCTTGTGCTCTATTTAAGTTTGCATATTTACCTTTCTTAATAGTAAATACAAATATTTATCAATTTAATATCATATAAACCCACTTTTAGCAATCGTTATCAAAATGTAAACAAAGAATAAATAGTTTCTTAAAGAACTATCAGCTGGGAGTTATATGAATCGTAATGATCAGATACAAAATTTACTGAAAGGAAATCAAAATTGTATAATATAAATGTTAATTTGTTTAACTTTTGTTTTTATTTTATAAGGGATTTCAATTAAGCTTTTTTCTTAGTGTACCCACTCGTACAGTGTATAATCGATGTGCAGCCCCCGAAATGAGCCAGCACGACATTGAATGTCAAAGTTTAAGCACTGCTGCCATATATAGATCATTAAGCAAACCCGTCCAATCCCCCAAATGGATCCAACTGTCACTCACTTGCCACAACATGCTGTACTCAATACCGCTGGTCCTTCTCCCATTTGCAGTGTCCTGCAGCACGGTGACGGTGACCAAGTGCCAGGCTGCCCTGCGCACCCTGCAGGCCTTCCAGTTCTTCCGGCCCACCTGCCTGTGCAAGGAACCCGGCATGGATCCCGACTGTAATCACTTTCGGGACTTTCTCTTTGATCATCCATGCGGATTTGTCCTCAAGAAAGGTACACGCTTCTATATGGCTTTTATAAATCACTTTCTAACTGACCTTTTTGCAGCCGAGAAGGATCCCTACCCCATTGATGCACTGCCAACTTGCAACCATGCCCTGTCTGTCTGCCAACAGGAACGCAAATGCCTGAAGCTCTTCGAGGACTTCAAAACGCATTGCAAAGTGCGCGACAACAAGTGCAAAATGGAAAACAGGTAAGTCAAGGACAAATAAATTATCACGATTTTGAGTTTATAAATTCCTAGCTAAATTAATAAAGTTTTGCTCGACTAAGAGGTCTTTAAAAATCCTTTGGTTAAGAAGCCTGTACAAATTTTGTTGTTGATACAATTTAAAATTATTAGGTTTATGAAAGGTACCTAAATCAGTCAGAGAGATAAAATATACATAAGTAAAACCTAACAATATATTATATGACACAATATTGCAAAAAATACAGAGGCTTAACTGTAGGTTTAGCTCGCAGAAGGGATTGTATTACCCGTGTATTTAGACATTTGAAAATCTATATTAATAAAAAATTCATATACCTTTTTCATACCTTTTTTGACTATCGCAACCAGGAAAGATAATTAGTTAGTGACCCAATTCCAGATAAATGACCCAAAACAAATGCGTTTCAAAGTAGCGATAACATCGCCTTTATTATTCTGAAAGTCAATCTAGTCAATTCGATCATTAATGGCTCAATTTGGGGGATGAAGAGAGCGTTACGTTTAAAGTGTCAAGTAAATTATGAAAATGGAAAATCGAAGTCCACTACCAAGAGCCAATTCCGATAATGAAAATTAAATTAAAGCGTGTTTGACTTAATAAGAAAATTGATTTACTCCTTGCCGCAGCGTGGCCATGCCGCTTAATGGTTAACGGCAAATGCAAATTGCATTGGCAGTCGGCAAAAAGCGACGTGGAGTGTACCCACCTGTTTGTCCCCCTTATCCGGGGTTAAAAAGAAAGGGGGAGTGCCACCTTGCAACATTCAATTTCGATATTCGATTTTATTGGCAAAAAAACACAACGCACACAGCAGACAGCAGCGTAAACAGGAGTCAAGTTGAGCGAACAGAAGGCGAAATGAAACTTCCTGCTTGCCGGCATCTTGCTGCTTCCTTTAGCCATCACATATCCTTACTGACGCGATTTCCTCCCTGCCAGGACTCGTCTGGCTCATTGCCCGGATGGCTCGTTGGCTCGTTGCCTCGATACACTTGAATACAAACGTTCTGAATGTTTTAATAACTCGAAATGACTTTTTGCGGCGGCAGTTGGGAGTTGGGCGGTCTGCGCTGGGAGTTGACTTCGGTGCAGAGTTTCAAAACTTGGTCTTAAACTTCTCAACATCCCCTACTACTGCCTGCCATCCTCTTGATCCCCTCAGCCCGGCCTAAAACTTTCCACACGCATGCCAGGCATTCTGGTTGCGGGTTTTTGGTTCGGGTTCAGATCCACCTATGCGATAAAATATTAATTGCAGTGCCGTGTGGGTACACTCCCAAAAATGTAGGTGCTTTGAATTTTCATTAAATTAGAAAAAATGTATGTAGGTTATTTTTTCCTAAAGATGGGTATAGATTTGTTAAAGACCTTCTTTATAATTTTTATTGGAAAATTAAAAAAAAATATTAATAAATATTTACCTCTAGATTCAATATTGTTAAAATCATTCTAAAAGAATCTAGACTCTTACGAAACCAATAATAATAAGTAAGGAAAACATATCTAAAAAAATATATGCATAATAATCAAAAGGCACCTACAAATATTATATTTCTTAAACAAATTTAAAATATTTAATTGGGCTATAAAATTACAAAAAAAAATTAATTAATTTCAAAATTGAAAAGCTACTCATATATTTTGCAAATAAGAGAAACCAATTTCTCATGGTGCACATGCATTTTTGATGTAATTGGCAATTTTAAAGTTTGCATGCCCCGCGAACGGAAGTCGCTGGCAATGCGGCTTCGGTTGCGGCGGTTGGGGACCCGAAATGAATTCAATTAGCTGGGGTCTGGAAGCCCGTAACAGCTCAGACCCGATTGGGATCGAATGAATATGAGTGTTTAACCGGGACCATCTTAATCTTTGCTCTTCTTCCAGGGACGCCTGTCATGATTCCTGGACCAACCTCCGGCTGTCGCCCATGTTCGGATGCATCTGCCCGAACAACCATATGAAAAAGCGCTGTGATCGTATCTTTAATATTGTTAATCACAATCCGTGTGTGGGTAAGTTTCGTCTGGCGAGGCTGAACTGTTGACCGTGACTTCAAAAAACAACTATAACAACCACCAATAACAACTACAACAAGCAACCACACAAACAGCTGAGAGAAAAAAAAAAATGAAGTGCAAGCGAAAGCGAATGCTTTGAAAATCGTGGATAAACTATATAGCTTTTGTTTTCATTGTCCTCTGTTCTTATGTGTCTCTCTTTCTCTGTCAACCTCTGGTATCAAGTTCTTGTTTTCCTTCTTATGGTAAATGATGATCACCATTACCTGCCTAAACCAAAAATCATTTGATTCGTTCTTAACTGACTTTTGGGTTCATTTTCCGTTTCCGTTTCTGTTTCTGTTTCCTTTGGTTATTGTAATTTTGTGAAACGCTGAAAAACCGAAACTAGCCTAACCATTTAAGTAACCTAAACAAAAACCAGAAACTAAACTATCGCACGCTTCTGCATCAAAAACCAACTAGAGAAAACCCAAAATGAAACCCATGTTCTGCGATCAGTAAACAGTAATCAATATGCCTATTCCAATATATATCATACTGTACGAATATTAGCTATGCTCAGTAATCCTAAGTATCACGTATACGAATGTATATCCATGTAAACCAAAGCTGTCGTGCTATCTCTCTCTCTCTATCTCTCTATCTCTCTCTCTCTACCTCTCTCTCGCTCTGTCACTATCCAAGTTTATTGTAGCAGTAAGCTATCAGCCCATAACTACATACAGTCACTCGCTAAAGTTAACTGCCACCCAGCGAACTGAGTCTGTGCTTTAGATTGATTGCACCCGATAAACACTTCTAGATCTAACTCTGTCTAACCCTAGTTGTAAGTCCAATGCTAGACCAAGCTATACTAACACTCTGACTCTGGAAAAGCCACGCCATTTGGCCATTCAATGTGCAGGAGTAGGGCTAGAATAATCCCAGTCGGTTGGAAGCTTTGATTTACCCACGCCAGACCACGAAAACTCTTTAAAGCATAATTTCATTTTCCACTTCACCCACCGGCCACCTCACCTGCACTAATGGATTAACAGCACCCCAGAGCAGAATGATCCCTTTCTCTCGTTTCGCTGAATTTTATTACACAAGTATACACTAATTGCACTAATTAAATACCCGCGCACACACTGTTGCACACTTGCTTTAATAGCAACAATTTGCACCGCACCGGCACTAAATGTTTTTCTCTATTTTTCCGCACGCATGCCCCACCTCAAACCCCCTCTCCCCCTCCCCCCTTCCAGATAGAATAATATTTTTCCCCAACGGACTGCCAAAATTGAAACAACCGAGGACAAAGGCAAAGCCGCGGCCAAAACCAAAAGCGAAACCCAAGCCGAGGCAAAGGCACCACGGCATCAATGGCACCGAGCTCATGTCCAACAATATCGAGTACCACGATGAGCCCAACGGAGTGAACGATCCCGAGGATGGGGGCAATGCAACGGAGGACGAGGATCCCGGTGGCGATGGGGAGGATGACGAGGAGGAGGACGACGATTATGATGACCGCATACGAGCCGAGATTTATTCGAATTACCCGCACTACCTGCATCCGCCGTCGTGGGGCATTAACAATCCTCTGGTCCTGGCCTCGCACAGTCCGCACACATTGGACGACGACGACGACGTGGTGGTGGAGGTGGTGGTGGCCAAGAAGAAGCCACTGCCGCCGCCGCCGCCGCCGGACCTGGAGCATGACGTGGTGGTGGTGGTGGATGCGGGGCCGCACTCCCACACCCACCCACACTCGCACACCTTCTATAGCCACGGCGATCAGGGCTCCACGCCGGGATCTGGACCTCCGGGCGCAGCACCCACTTTACCCAGCCCACCTAAGTATGCGGCTGGCCAAAGTTCCCAACGAAAGTTCCTAGCTCCTATAGTTTCTACCCCCTGACTTGAGTTGGCATCTTCGACTGGGAACTTTTTCACAAAGTTTTGAGCCCGCACACATATGTGTGTGATTGCTATGTCCGCAATCCCCCCGCCCGAACAGACAGCCTTTCATTAACTCCACTCTTAACCACCGAGGAGCTGAAAACTTTATGCAAAAAGCTTTTAAAATAATTGACTCACTGGGGTATGCCACAATTTCCGGTTAAAAAGCCAACTAATGAATAAGTCCAGCTGCTGGCGAATAAACAAGCAAACTACGAGCACTCGAACTAATCGGCTCCCTGGGCACTTGTCAAGCATTTATGTAATCCGATTTTAATGCGTTGCATCTTCGTAAATATCCCGGTGAGTGGATATTCAGCAGTCTGAGCTGGAGACACAATTTATTTATAATGCCTGCGAGGAGCAGTGAGATGCTGCATTGAATATGAGTCATAACCTTCGGCTCCTCTGCTTGGTAATTGGCAATTGTATTCGTAATGCCCTAAGCCGATTAATGACCAACTTAAGTCAGTTTCTTTCTGCTGTAACAAACAAGATTTATGTAATTTGCTAAATCTACTTATGCATTTGGTTGTTTATTTAGCCCCACACCCACACCAACACCCACACCCAAGCACTCTGTTTTGTAATTTGCACTTAATTATCTGTACAACTCTGCAATTTATTCAGCACTGGCACCAAAATGCACAAAACAGCACCACTCGGCGATTTAGTTGCCGGCAGCGATATAACCCACCGCACCTACACTGGACCCACGATGGATGAACGAGGTGAGTTCACTAATTGCACTTAGCCAGGCTGCCCTGTAATTTAATCCGCACGCCCACGGCAATTTGAAATAGATATGGAAATGATTGCTGCTAAATTATGGGAGCATATGTTCAAAGATATTTACGAGGATATATCAATGTCAGGAACATGATAATACCAATTTAAAAGACCGTTTAAAACAAAAAAAAAAAAATTATTAGAAAACACTAAATTATGATCGGTTAATTCTGGTAAATGATTTTGTAAAAACTTTTGGGTTTTTTGGGGTTAAAGAAAGTTTTATTTTTCCCTTTGCATTATTAATTTACTTTAGAAGCTTCATTCTATATTTTTGTTGCATGCTGGAAAAGGGTGATAATTGTTCGGAGTTTCCCAAATGCTCTAAACTCTTCATTAATTGGGTCACATTTAATTCAAATTAAATATTTATGCACAGCGAATGGGAAATGAAGCAAAGGGTCTGGTCATAAATTAGACAATTGGCGTGTAAGTAAGTATTCCACAAGGAGCAAGCTGAATTGAAGCGCACCAAGAAGCACTCGAATGTCCCTTTTTCTCTCTTTCTGGCACACATTGCACCATTGCATTCACCATCTCTCTCGCACATCCTGCCCTCTCGCTCGCTCGCAATTCAAAAGCTTATTAGGCAAACAAAGCTGGCAAACTCGAGCGTTTTGGCCAGGCCAACAGGCATCCTTTGTTGTTTGCAGCTCGCTCTATGGTATTAGCTATCTGCAGGGGCAATCAGTTGCAGTTTCATAGATGCACAAATACTCACTCACACACACAAGAGCACACACACACACAGTCTCACAAATACCCCGATGCAATGCACACAAGTGCCATAAATAAGCATTTCGACCCCTTAACGCGTCATCAAAAAGCGAAGCCCTAGAACTTTAACATTGCACTGTGGCTTTTGGTTTATTGGTATTCTATTATAATTAATACACTGAGAAAACAGAATTCAAGGAAAAGTTTGGATTTAAAAACATATGTAGCAGGCTTTGACATAGAAAAATAATTTCCTACCTAATTTATTTGTACAAAAAAATAAGAAAATCAATTATTTAAAAGTTAAAACCTAATCATATTTCAATTTTCTGGATGTAAACATATTAACATATTTAAACAACTTAAGGTCATAATTTATCATATTTTTTAAAACCAAAACACTTTGAATATAAACAATAATTTAGACGGCTTCATAGCATAAAACTAGTGTTTTCTTTCAATTTGATTTAGAATACCTGATTTGTGAGTCAAGCATGAAAAATATTAATCAAACGAAATTCAAATCCAGATTGTGTCCACTTGACTTTGTTTTCTCTGCCTAGTTATATTGTTTTCCTTTTTCGTTTGCTGCCTATTTACAGACTCAACAGTTTCACCAAACACAATAAAACTGGCTGCCTGCATTTGTTAATGGCCTAATCAATGCATCCCCTGTTGTTTGGTCCTTTGATTGTCCTTTGCGCATCCCTGTTTTTATTTATTGCCACAGATTTCACTTGCCATTTGACGATGGCCATCCATCATAAGCGATGGTGTTTTTGTTTCCGACTCGTTGCTCTCGGCAATCTGTTCGACAAAGTTATAAATTCCCCAGCCTGCATGGTGCATTGTGCACTTCTGCATACAGCTTTGTCTATTGTTGCAGCTGCCGACCTATGGGATTGCTGTAAATATTAGCGAACTATTTATGCACGTCAGGCGCACACACACTCGCCGATTTGCATACATTTTCACCGACACTTGCCTTATTTACGTTTATGGCGACCAGTAAATTAACAACACAAGCAGCCACATCAATAATCCCAACTATGGCCATGTTATCAGATTTTTGGGCGAATTTAGAGTCCAACGCAGTGAGAGATATGCATAAATATCAAAGCTAAAGGCAGTTCAGCGACTCTTTTTATTTAAGCTGCGATATTTAAATTGAATTGTTATTGTTGCTGATTGGATTCTCAAATGCAAAGCATAAACATTGTCAATGGCCTCGAGGGCTTAAAATTTTCCAAATAGCATCAACAATGTCACAATACAATGGTAGATGAAAACAAATAAGCAATGAAATTTTATTTAGGTGTCGTCGTAACTTGTACCTTGTAAACTAGAGAAAGTTTGATAAGTTCACTGCCTAAATCGAATTGAATCTACATTTTTAATGGTATTGAGTTTCAATTTGTAGTATTAACACAATTAAAAGCTAATTATGCTTCAATCCGCAAATCACATTCTATACTAACTTCCATGATATCATCTAAACAGATTAATAAAGTTAACCAATTTTTAATGAAATAAGAAACTAAGCCAAATAATTCAATTAGCTTAAATGCAACAAACAAAGTAATCCATGTCAGTAAAAGTTCACACACACTTCATAGATAATGGGTATCTCGTGTATAAAAATTTAGCTAAGCGTTCAATTTGAAAATTTAATTAAGCACAACTAAAAAGCAAATAAAGCGATTTGTCAGCATTGCGCCAGCAACAAAACGAGGCAAACACGCTTGCCGAGCACCCTTACAGCCCAACCACCCACAATTAACACCCCCTCCCCGCCGCAGCACCACCCATCGCACTTATGCCACCCACTAAAGCACCCACATTGCTATGTATTTGTATGGGATATATCCGCACGATGTTTGCGTGCAATAAATATTTTCATAATATTGTACAATCCACTTAGAAGTAGCAGCGGGCAATGTTGATGCCACAAACCGTTCCAAGCACCTCTGCTCGTGTGTGTGTGTGTGTGTGTGTGTAAGTGTGTATGTGCGCTTGCATGTGTGTGTGGGTACGTATCCTTGTGATGCAGCTGCTCACGGCTTTCCCAATTAGGGCATGAAAACCACGGCTATTTGAAATGGCATGGCAGTCGTAGAGCCAACACATTCGCGTTTCTAGCATCACAGAATGTAATTTTCAAATTATTGCACATTCTCCAAATTTATTTCCATTGTTTATGAGTTTGTTTAAATTTCGCGCACCGTATCTGCACATTCAGTTACATTCAGTCCTTACATTCATGTTTATGTGTGTGTCTGCCGGTTTCTGCACACTCAACTTTATAGGAACTTTGCGCTTTGGTTAAATGTTAAATGGCATGCAATGACCCGAGTGCAGCTGAAACGTTTTGTATTGGAGCCAACGCTGCGTATACGCAACAATTAGATGACACAGATCCACTCAACGACAGGAGCTTACAAGCGCGATAACAGTTAACAAACGGAGCTAATCCCATTCAAGGCACCCTCCCAAGACATTCCACTTCTCCTCCACTGCCGTCATTTCTGTTTGTTGTGCAAATATTTGCGATGGCAATGGGAGCGACAAACATAAGTACGTCGCACGTATCCTGGCAAATCCTTGGCCATTTAGCGCCAGCAGTGGACCCCCCCTGTCCGCCTCCCTCCAGGCATTAGGGGGGAGGGGTGGTTGGCTCGGCGGTGGCCCTGGGATTGGCATCCTTTTGAGCTTTGCCAGACGCCGCAAATGAAGCGCACTTCGGCGTGCTCTCGCCGAGATAAGCTATTCTGGCACTGACACAAAAAGAAGTTACCATTAAAAAAATCACAAGCAAAATATTTTTTACATTTTATTGTAAGCATTAATATCAGCAAAAACATTTTTTAACGATTGCCTCAAACAACGCTTTTAAATGATGTTTATAATTTTTTTCGGTTTAAAGAATATTTTAAATCAACGCAATGTAATGTGAGTAATCACATTTTTTTTCTTAAAAATATAGTACATTTAAATATGATATATGATATAACAGTGTACATTTTAATAATTAAAATCAATTTAGTTACCCGTTTAAAGGAATATTTTTAAAATAAATATCAAGCATATCATTTCATTTTTAAACCCATTGGTATTGGCTTCATAAGTAAAATGTGTTTAATAATTGAATATTTCGAGTGTTAAATTTCCATAACTGCCTTCCGTTAACCGAAGATTCTGTGCAATTTACGTGTTTGGAAAATATGTACGATTTTTCCCCGAGTGTGAGCGGTGATAGCGAAGCTTCTGCTGCGGTTGGAAACCGATTTGAGACAGACCCGTTTGCCATTTGCCCGCTCTATCAGCGCATGACATTTGACAGACACGGAGGCAGGCGCTTCTGTTTGTCTTCTGTTTATGTTTCGCCATTGATAGCAAGTGGCAATCGGAGCGTGGCGAGTGGCAAAAACCTGTAATGGAAATCGGTTGGGGAGCTGAGAAAAATTCCGAATCGGTTTCTCTTTCTTTTTCAATGCAAAACGTTTTACTCGTCTGCCCTGCACTAATTTTAAACGATAATTGTTGGCACACTTACTCACACTCTCCTCTGTATGTTTGTTCAACTTTTTCTCTCCTTTCGTTGACACTATCTGTATACGTTATCTTTTCGAATAGAAATTCTTTCGTTTTGTGCCAAGTAACTTCGGCATTAGAACCATATCATTTTCTTTACAAGTGTTTTTTTTTCCAATACGTACTATAAAAAGTAATCTAATAGCAATAACATTGATTGTAAGAAAGCCAAATGCTACAACAAAATATATACAGAAATTTATGCGATCTGATTGGATAACTCAAATGCTGCGTAGCTGTAACTACAGTCACAACAATAACTCCAACTACAACAACCAATTAAAACAACTATATAGATGGCACTGAACAAGAACAACAACAACAACCAATCAATCTACCAAGCAACCACAACAACTACAACCATTCTACCCTCTCTCTTCTTGCTAACCTCAAATTGCAGTAAGAATATTGGGCATGGACGAGAAACTGCATCAGAGAATCTTCAATGATAATTTGGCCCTAATTGATACGCCACTTATAGCCATGGGCACCGGCTCCGGTTCCGGCACGGTCACCTCATCCGGATCCGGTTCCGGATACGGCCTGGGAATGGGAATGGGCATGGGCAGCTTTAACTATCCGGGCTCGATGCACGGCGTGCCCAGCTATCCGTTCAATATAAGCGGCTTCCATCAGCGGCACATGGCAGCGGCGGCTGCCGATAATGAACCATTCGATATCATTGATACGGGCTTGGGCTACGGCGGAAACGGAAATGCCGGTGTTTACTACCAAAGTATGTGTACACGTATTAGCATGAACGTAATCCATAAATAACAAAATCCACGACCAACTACAAACCAACCAAGCAAAAAATCAAAATAAATTAATACGCAGCAGTCCACACACAGCCAACCAAATCCAGATATATATATAATATATATATATATATACGTGTGTGTGTGTGTGTGTGCAAACTCCTAAAACTAATTAACAGGCAAAAAAGTTCGTTCGTTTTTGTTCGTTCGTTCGTTCACCATTTTAGATAGATTTTTGTGAATTTATTTATGATTTCCGTTCTGTGTCGTCCCCCTGTAACCAAAAAACACCCCCGAGTTGCAGGTAAATTTTTTGAAAAAAACATCGAGTTCGATTTTTGCTTTTGTGTTGAAGGTGAATATATATATATATACAACTTGGCGCAGTCCGTGCGCCTCTTGGCTTTGTGCATAATTTTTGGCAATCGCTCAAACTTTACATCAAAAGAAAAAAAACAAAAGAAACCTTAATATAGTTACTACTACAAACAATTTATACTTTACAATTTATATACATATATAAATATTTACATATTTCGATCTCTTTCAACTGCTTTTGTGTTCAATTCTTTTTATGTAGCTTGCCATTTGTTTTAACAGTTTTTTGAAATTTTCCTACAAGAAATATACCAAAAACAAATTTAAAACAAACCATTTGCTTCCAATGCGTTAAAAACCAATTCTTTTCTATGAATTTTGTTTGACATTTTGTTTATCTAACAGAAAATTCTAGACAAAACATATGAAATTAGAAAATGTGTAAAAGTTGTGAATATTTTCTATACTAACTTTTTCGTATGATAAGTGAGCAAAATGAAAACCCTAAACAAAACCAAAACCTAAACAAAATTCATTTAATTTTTTCCTTAAATATATATTAAATCTTAAACCAAAAAAAAAAAGAAAGAAAACCAATCCAATTTTGTTACATTCAATTCCGGCACACTTTTTCAAATTTTTTCCAACGCACCCAGTTTTTGAATCCAAAACAATAACAGTTATTACAATCAAACATAACAATTAAAGCGTTTTTGATCAATATTTTTGAGATCCAACCCATCGTTCAATCCCCTTCAAATGCAAACTTCTGTGTCATACATTTAACATTCAAGCTCACAAGACATCGAGTTCATTGTTTCATACAACAAAGCCACCGAAACATCAAAAACTTCCTGCCCCAGGACTTCTATTCAACCCAATTCTTGAAACCAACTGAGGTTGAATTCTCTAAAAGCAGTCGCGAAATTCAACTCAAAAAGAAATCACACAAATTGATTTTGTTAAGACATTTTCGTTCGCTTTTTTGCCGCTCGTCTTTTTTTTTTTTGCTTATTCCTTGTTCCTTGTGAAATCTTATTATTTGCGTTTATACATTCGTGTACTTCTTTATTTGAAACATAAATTCATTTCATTTCTGCTGAGTCTGCAGCAACGCGTTTATGTTTTCCATTCAAAGACCACACACACAGAGTACAGAAAACCAATAAAGTATGCCAAAGAAACACATTCTCACAGTCGTCAGAACATTAGCATAGAATCATGAATCCCGGGCTGGGAACCCAGAAAACCCGATAAATAAATCATAACCCCATTTAAATACACAGCCACAAAGGAGTACAGTCTAATGCTAGAATATCGTTGCCGATTCCCCCAAAAAAAAAACAGAACATTTTTATCAGTAGGTTTGGTAGTTTTTAAAGTCGAAACCAATAAATAAAATATTAAACTTATACCTCTCATATACATATAATAGAACTTAGTTGTGTTTTGCCAGCCCTGCAGACCCTGCGACCACGCCCCCAAAATGTTGAAAGTAATATCCCCGAACTCCCCAATTGATTCTCACTCTCAATATCTCTGCCTACCCCGGATTCCAGTAATAGGCAATAAACAAATTTGTGGAATATTTGCATTTCATTTACGTTATTTATGTGCATTTTTGTTATTTTGATTTAATAATTTCGATCATTTTTTGTGCTGGTGCAAAGGGGCTGGGATGCCGGGGGCATTTGAACGTTTTGCGATTACCAATTGAAATTGAAGAGCGAACAAAAAGTTGGTTAATTAAAATGCAATCGATAACTGTCGAGCTGCTCGAACCAACCAGCGACCGTGATTGATATTCCGATTGAAAACAGTTTTGTAATTGAGTTGTGATTAGGCCTATAAACTCTCACAATATTAACACCACTTATCTGGCCTTCAGTTAGGCATTCAATTCAGATTCATGTGTGAATTACACCTGAATCCCATGAATAAATAAGCCAATTGAGAGTGAGTAAGCAAATAAAAGGCTAAGCACGGATATACATAAATGAAATTAATTATGACCGTGCCGCGGCCAATATGCACAAACAAAAGCTGCCAATGAGTTCAACATTTTAATTAGTTATAAATGCCATCCACTCTCGATTGGCGTAATCAGCGATTTTACAATTCATTTTAACAAAAAGCTGGATGATTGAGCTTAAACCAAACCCAATTGTATTAAATCGGCTAATGCAGCTCACCAAGTTGGTTGGGGACAGGCGGCGCGGGATATTTTTGGGTGTGCGATTGCCGATAGAAAGTGCCAAATCCGTATCCGAATCGTATATGCTGGAAAAGGGTTGCGCAAATCGAAAACTAATGAACTATTTCAAACATTTTCTCTACGCATCTCACCTGCGGTCACCAACTCCACCCAACGACAAATCCCCAATCGAACGTCTCCCCCGGGCAACATTTACTCGATGCAAATGCAAATGCTAATGCAAATACAAATGCGACTGACACACTTGGGCACGTTTGACCGGTTGCAGGTGGTCAGGATGTCGAAGTTGACCTCTCAACGGAAATAATCAAGCAACACTTTCAGGTGAGTGCAAAGAAAATCCCCCAAAACGAGACATGGAAAATGCAAAAGTGCAGCTCACACAATTTGTAGCTTTTATTACAGAGCACTGTGAGAAATATGCCGCTTATTTCAATGAAATGTAGAATTAATTGGTCTTGAAATTCAATTCGTTAAGTTTAAAATATACACTTTTAATCAAACTATTGTAATCACTTGAATATTTATGAACAAAGTGCGATTTACATTTCAGAATATTTTTTTTTTTTTTACTAGACCAGTCCACTAATTTAGTTTTTCTATAATTTTCTGTTGTTTTTAGTTATTTTATTTATTGAAAAGCTTTATTAAATAAGTAATATTTAATGGTAATCAACAAATTATTTTTGAAGATTTAAAAAAATAATTTTTATAAATAATTATTAATTGAAATTTTTATTAAGCTTTGTTTTCAAATCAATTAAAATTATTCAGATTTTAAGGTCGTTTTTATAAAATTTGTTTGACACTTCTGTATAACCCTTATATTTGCTTATCGAATGGGTTTCTGTGCCTTACAAATTCAAAATAAAATTGAAAATTTACTGATGTCATCCCGGTTTTTTTCGCGGTGTGGTCCTCCCCGCAGAGTACCTGTCACACGGCATTGGACACTTGCCGGGAAGATCCGTCCTGCTCATCGTCCTTGCAGCCCATGCTGACGCACTGCGAGCTGCACCGGTGCAATCGCAACGCGTGCATGTCCTCGTTGCAGGCCTTCTACAAGGGACCCCACGAGGACCTCAATCTGGACATTGCCTTTTGTCTATGCAAGTAAGTGGCTGGGCAACCGAGTGGGCAAGCGGGGAGAAAACCAACAAGCCCATTGTTCTGCTTCCCATTTTCAGAAAAACAAGTAGCAGCCAGCAGAACGGCAATCGGCACGACATGTGCATGATTGCACAGGAAAAACTGCATCCAGTGTGCGCGCAGCGACCGCCCGATAACAGTAATCCGGCCAGCTCCAATGGCATTTACTACCATCCACCGCCCGCCTGTCACGTGGTCGCCGACAGCTGCAAGGAGGACCGCGAGTGCAGGTGGGTCACGGGTCAGGGGTCACGGGTCGGGGGCCAGGGATCAGGGGTCATAATTCAAAAATCGGGCGTTAAGCGTTAAGCGGAACCGGAAATATGCGCGATGCAATGTATATTTCCCGACCATGGTGCTGGTCATGTGCAAGCTATAATAATGCAATGCTAAATTTTAAATTGCATTACCTTGGGTAGCCATTTAGTGCTGTGTAAAATTATTTTAAAGCATTTTTTAACTATCATTTTTATGATTGCAAAAAGTTTCCCATAAACTAAACCATACTATTGCGGTGTTACGAAAATATGATGAACATTTAAATATCAAAAATATAAAAGCAAACTAATAATAAGTCTTTATACAACTTGTAAGCCTCTTTTTTTTGATTACGAGTACGATTTCCATTGTTTGTACTATTGCGAAATTTGTATAAAATTAAATTACTCCGCTTTTCTACATTTAAGCTGAAAAAATGATACAACAAATATTTAAAAAATCTTTTGCTTTTTCCTTTACAAAACAACCATATATGAAACTGCCGACGAGGTGTTTATAATTTTGTCTCCAATTCAATTACGCCAAATTGAATTTCAGAGACTTAGACTGAGGCGCAGCCTGAAATTGAATTAGAGGCGTTTAGCCACGGCAAAGTCAGCGCAAGCCGCAACTTTGATGGCACTCAGCCGAACTTGTTAAATCGACACCATGGCACGGTGGCTGCCGGAGCTTTGCCACTCCGAAATTCCGTAGTTGCCGACAAGCGGGGCATAAAATTACCAGTTTGCTGAAGGCAGCTCCTCAATCTGCTCGGAACGGCTCTTCATTAGGCGGCGGCAGCTGAAACTTGCAGGCCAGACCGCGTGAATGTGTCAAACACAAAGTTAAGTTATAAATACGATGCAGCACCCTCCAGCAGTTTCCATCTGGGATGCACATGCTTAGAAGTGGGTGGGATGTTGTGGTGTGGTGTTTGTTTGTTTGTTGTCATGTTACGGCTGAACGACCGCAAAGTACGTGGTCGTAGCTGTGGCTGTGGAAATTAATTGCCTTTTAAGTGAATCGCACTTGCTTTGGTAAACAACTAAATTGGACTAATGACGCTCATTTTGTATGCTGCAGCCTGAAAGGGGATGAAAGGACCTTCGAGAAGGAGTGCTTATGTTGACTTATTACGTATACGCCGCGCTGTACGCCAACACGTGCCTTTTGCAAACGTGTTCGGGGCTGGGAATGCTCATTTGTTTGGCTGCCATCGAAGCTGCAGCCCCAACGCCTTAAACTGCACTTCGGCGTCTGCGTGCGTCAGCTTTTGGTTGCACAACACGTTGCAGGCATTACGCAACCAAGAAAGCGAAAGAAAATCTCAGCTTTTGTGTCAGTCGTAGATTGAGATAAGAGGGTGGAAATATAGCAATATGCACTTTTTAGGTCGCAAAAGTTATGCTGGCGAACAGCAAACGGAAAAGTTTTTTAAACATGAGACTCCATAAAAACATCATGCCAGTTTTAAAGTGTTTTTCTAAGGACATCATGTAACCTTAGAAAAAGAGTAGGGCTAAAGATTTTTGTGTCGCCGAGAAGTCAACTGAAGGAATAAATTATTTTCTGATTTCTCTGTCAAATGAAGCTTGAAGTTTCGTCCATTAGTAAATTTAAATGAATAAAGGGTCAGGCAACATTATTTGTATTAAAAGTTATTTATTAGTAACATAAGCCACTTAATTAATTAAAAGTAAAACGTAATGTTTGCAATTATTTTTTTGTAAGAGTTGTTTATTTGGTCAACAAACAATTAAATTAAAATATAACAAAAATTAGTGACCACTAATATAGAAACGATTTTAGGTAATTAATATAATAATATCCCCTGGCAAATTTCACGAACACCTAAAATTGTTCATTGATTTAAAATTTAAAAACCCTGAAATTATAGACTTATTGGTAGGAAAGCAATATTATCGGTGTGTAATGCAGACACTATTACCATGATCTGCAACCACAATTGGGCGACATCCAATCCGTTTGGAATGTCCAAGTCGTCGCCCTGAGTCGATAATCTCCAATTGAAATATTACGCATTCGTCGCATGGCACTTGACCAAAAATCACCACCCGAATGCCTGAGATTGGGGCCTCATAAATTCAGTCGCTGTGATGCGGCGTCAGAATGGGAATTCGCCCCAAGACGATGAAATGCCATAGAATGCCGAGAGTAATGCCGGCACAAATTGGTCGACATCAATCTCAGGTGAGAGAGAAGCTGCAGTGCAGGTAACAGCCCACTTATCACCGGAATCTCCGGCGGAGTGTGGGGCCTGCAACTGGGAGAACTGCATCTGCAGCTAACTGGCACATGACAGCCACGAAGACATCGACAGAGGCACTGCCTCCTGACGGAAATGGGGCTGGCAGCTTCTTTGAGGAGCTTACTTGGGTTTTACGAGGCTGCTTATTATTGCACCCGGCGAAAAATTACGCTTTTATACTCGAATTTTTTAGTGTTGCTCGCTAAAGCGGATTGCAAAATGGATGGATAATAAAAAGTTAAGAAAATATATGTTCCAGAAAAATAGAATCACTCAATTATAAAAAGGTAAATTTAGTAGATTATTATTTTTAACAAGAATATGGGAGAGAAAGAATTTAATACTTTAAGTTTATTCACGTGTATATTTCTAACCATCCTAATATGTATATTTTTCTTCATGTAACAGACTAAAATTGGAGTATTACGAGCAGGCCTGTGCCGTGGACAGCGTGACCAAAAAGTGCGCCGGCAGACCAAGTGGTTGTCGAACGGCCATGATTGGCATTTTGGGCACCATGTTGAGGACGACCTGTGCCTGTCAGGGAACGGATCCCCAGCACCTGTACCAGTGCGTCGGATGGCGACGCCTCCTCTGGATGAACCCCTGTGTGGGTAAGTCGCACGAGCACAGTTATAGAGTGATACATAAAGAAAAGTACAATTTTATAACCCCTTAAAGAGTGTTTTTTAAGACCAAAAGCCCGAAAGAAACAACTTGAGTGTCGATTTTTTGGTTCAAACCCTGAAAAAAATGGTGAACAATTGGAATTGTCATACCTCGTTGAATTCGTTATAAAATTTCCAATATTATTGGCATTTATTTACTTCTTTGTTTTAATACACGAAGATGTGTCTTTATTTAAATATTATTAATTATTTTCTTTGTACGTCTGTATCCGCTTATTAACTCTTGACAGTTGAGGCTCAAAAGGATTTCCACATGAAGCGATTGGCTGAGCTCGGTTTCCTTACAACCACAACAACGACGACCACCACGACGACAACAACAACGACGACGACAACCACGCGTGCACCACCGCCCCCACCTCCGCCCACCACAACAACAACAACGACGACCAGCCTGCAGCCAAAGCAGACGCCAAGGAAGCCGGCGACGCACATCTTCAAGGACGTCACTGCGGTGAGTGCCTACTTAGGCGTCTGCTGCTCCCATTTGAGTCCTAATTGCCCCGCTGTGGTCAACCAGTGGTCGATCCCATCGAATCGCCATGCTCCGTTCGATATTAACCGACATCAACAACAGTTACCTGTGGGAAATTCCCCCAGCAGTTGTCCGTCCGTCCATCAGTCCCTCCGTCCACCCAACGGTTCGTTTTCTGTTTTCCAATCAGCACTCAATCAGTGCCTCAAATGGGGCGGCGGGGGCGTGGCTGGGTGAACGGCAAAGCGGACAATATGCCACACAACATGCCAGGTCAAACCAGAGTCCACACTCTGAATTCAGCAGCGGATTCTGCTTTGGCTCTGGCCAGAGCACTCGAAAAAAGGTTTTTATATCCATACCACATCGAACAGGAATACATTAAAATTAAATTTACATTGTAACTAAAACTAAAAAAAATCAAATATAAATGGAAGCAAAGAAATTAGTTGATGCTAAATATTTCATACAAATGTAAAGTGAAAATGGTTTTTTCTAGGTATTAAAAGATTTAAAGGATTTTCTTACTAATGTTCAAGAATAAAAGTTGATTATACATTTTTATTTAAAAATAAGAAAATAAATTATTTTAATATATCGATCCCTTTTTCGAGTGTGGGTCCGCGTTCTGGTGAATTTCTGTTTCAGTTGCTGCTTGTGGCCCAGTTCCTCGGGCTGGCAAACCGACAAAGCAATCAATTCCTGACCTGCAGCCAATGCTGCTGCCTTTGCAGCCGGAGCGGCAAAAAGATTAAGCCCCCCCCCGTACACAAATATATATATATATCCGCATTCGTTTTCAAACTCTTTAACATCTTTTCTCTTCCTCCCCAAACAACAACTATGACGGCGAACAATTGCAACAATGAACCGCAAAAACCACGAAAAATGCAAATAAATAAATAAAAATGCGAAACAACAAATATGAAACAAAAAAAAAAAAACATACAACAAAATTGAAAAACCACGAAACGCAAAACCGAACCGAACAAAAAAATGACAACAAAAATGTGGGTGAATACGGCAGCCAAAGGAGAAATCAGAGCCAACATCGGTGGAACACAATTATCTCGATCCGCCCGATTCAATACCGCTGCCCAGCGTAAATGTCGAGAGCGGCGGAAATGGCGGAAATGACGATTATCACAACGGCAACGGCAATGGACACGGAAATGAAAATGGCAATGGTAACGGGAATGGCAACGGCAACGGCAACGGCAATGGCGGCAGACGCAAAAATGGCGGAAAGGGACGCGGCGGCAGTGTAGATTTCGATGATCCAGTAATTTTCGTGGACCCACGGGAAACAACGGAATTTGTGGGCATCAGCATCACGGAGCCGGTAACCACAACAACCACAACAATGGCCACCACGACAACAACACAGCCGCCAAGTAAGTAAATGCAAGTGGGTAATAAATTGGACCGCCCAGTGAGTTGGAATTGGGCATCCAATTGAGGTCGGATCTGTCAGGAAAATGTTATTCCTTTGCCCCTCAATTGTAAGGCAAATATTGGCACGGTCTCTGGTGCTCCATCTAAACTTTTCACCAGATTCATAATAACCATAACGATGTCATAATGAGAAAAAATGGGTTTAAAACTTTTCCATTTCTAAGAAATTATTTTAACATATACATTTATATAAATATTCTTTTTGAAAATCTTTTATGAGTAATTTTTTATATATAAATACAACACGCTTTCCTGCTTAACCGAATACTCTATACTTTTATCAAATCTTAATAGCAATAATTAAATATTAAAAAAAAACATAACCATCATACCTTTATTGTTATTTTATATTTTATACTATAAACATTTTTGTCTTATAAATTCAAAACAATAATTCATTTAAGAAGTCATTTTTGTTCTCTGTGTACACACATCACTCATAATTTTTGTACTTTTGGGTATCGTTTCCGTTTTGAAATTTTCAACATAATTTATGTGGTGACTGCGGTTGTTTGGCTAATTGAAAGCATAACTCAGCGCCGGCCGTGATTATTATTTTAATATTTTGTGCGCCAATCATTTAAAATTCAGTATCCGCAATGGTTTCCGCACCCACACACCCATACGCATAACCGGAAATGAGTTTGCTTTCGGCCGATGTGGCAATTACACTAGTACATATCTGCGCCAAATCGCATGAAAGGACCTCCGAAATGCCAGAGAGCCTTGTGAACCTAGGACATTGGCAAATCCGATTACGTTTTGAATGCCAAACGCACACATATCACTTGACTGCATTGTGATAATACTTCCGTTATTTAAAACCTCCTGCCGAGGACATCGTTTATTGTCCATTCATTTATCAGAGGGACCCCGGAGGTTGAAACGTGTTTACAAACATCATTAAAAATGTAAATGAGTTTGTTTGTTTGCCCACCAGTCCATCAGTCCATCCGTTTGTCAGTTAGTCAGTCCGTCAGTCTGTCATCCCGTGTGGTCAGCTCGTCCGTTGTAATTATTTAGACACTTGGGACATTCGGCTTTGAATTTTGCATGACATGTTTCTGGCCCGCAGCTGAACCCGTTTGTGTCTCATCTATAATTGATTTCGCTCGTGCAGTGAGGCGGAGATTTTAAAACTATATTTAACCATTGTAAACTGTTAACCCCCGTGCAGTTAGTTTCAATTATTTATGAGCATGCTATGGCGGCTTTATTGGCAAAGTTGGACCGAAATAGGGATTTTGATTAGACGCCAAAGCCCCAGGTGCCAGTTAAGTCACATCTTGGCAGTTTAAAATGCCCGTTGGTAGTAATTAAGTGGCACAGTCTTCCACTCCGGTCTCAAGTGTGTATGCATGTGCAAATTTGTGCTACATAAACACCCTTTTGCCGGGAAAACTTTTTGGCCAGGAAAAACTCGTAATGGCGTTGATGACATGATGAATGCTCCACGTGAGTGGCGGACATCCGTTATTTGGGCATGAGTGGCAGGGTCGCATTGTGTGCGTTGACTGCCACCAAAAAAAGGGATGTCTGTCCGTTTGGGGTTGGTGTGAAGTCAAGACCATGCCCCCAACAAACAGCTCAGCAGCCGCATTTAAAGCCAAACAATGCGGAGCACATAGAGTGAAAATTAAGTTCCATTATAGGCGTTCAACTAATTTATGAATGAGAGCTCTCTGTCGTTTAATTAGTTTAATGAATTATTCCATCAATTAAGCTCTCGATATGAATTTATTTGCAGGAAACTGTGTAGTCCAGCGACCACGTCAGTCGGATCAACTTATTCGAGAAGGCAGCAGCAAACGGGTAAGTAAATATAAACCAACTCAAAAACAATTACAATTATAATTCAAAATCCCAACTCAAGTTCTTAATTGTGTCTTATTTATAAACGCATTTAAGTGAAAGTGGTAAGTCCGAAGTGCTAATTAATATTTCATTTTCGGGCCGGATTTGTTGAGAAAGTGCTTTCTAGCGCATTTACATAACTAAAAGTTAAGCCAGAGAAAAATGGCCAGCCAGCTGAAAGTTGAAAATATTTTCGTATGAAAAATGGGAATCGTGTGTTGCACGTGTCGGCACGTACTAAGGGAATCATGAAATATAAATAGAAATTCAGGTGGAAATAAAGTTTTGCTTTTGTTTGTGCCATCATTTAATTATGACTACACCCGGCGTATACGTAATGTAGCCGGATAACAATGCCATTTTATTCCTCCACTTATCGTCTTTCGCCTTCGGGGGAATTCTTCCGTTTCAGATCTACTCCTTGGACGACGTCGAGTGCAGTGAGCTGTGCAGCTGCGGCGAGTCGCTCATCCTCACCTGCCACGCCCTCTGCGTGCCGTTCGCCCCCTGCCGCACCGCCCTGGCCTTCTACAGCCACGCCTCCCCCGCCTACCAGGCGTTCCGCGGACGCTGTCTGTGCTACTCGGGCCGCTTCATCTGCATGAAGCCGCCGCTCGGGGAGTACATTCTGCCAGGTGAGTTGCCACTTCCTTGTAGAAAGAATATATGTACCTAGCTGCATTATTGCGGTGGCGTGTCGGTGAGTTCGCTGTGCGTTAAGCACTTAGCGATTATCGCCGGCGACAGGCAATGACGAGGCACTGCTGTCAGGAGGAATGCAGCAGCATTTTTGCGTGCTCCGCATGAGGTCTACACTAAAAAATATGTTATACAGTAGAGTACCATATCCAAAAAAAAATATCTACTTACGTTAATACAAAATTCGAAAATATTTCGTTATTACACCCCCTCAGTTGAAAGAATTTTATTGAGAAAAGAGTTAAGCTCAAGTAAACTTTAATATCAACTCGAAGTCTTCATTTATATATTTGTATGCTTTTACTTGGCTTCTCAAATTTAATAAACAAAAATTAATTTAAAATTGTCATAATATTCATAATTAAATACGATTTAAAATACTTTTATTTTATACAAACTCCTACATATATTTTAGTTAAAGACAATATTTTATTTAACGTGGAATATAAACAATATTTTTTCTTCAAATGTTTTCCGTAACTTACATTTAAAACAGATTTCTTTCGAAGTGCATCCCGCACACCTTTCTTTAAAGCCTTTGTCAGGGCACCTTATTCGCAGAGGAGCCACTTTAGACCGCATTTGACACAAAAAAAAGGGTCCCAAGGTTGCGTGGTCCTTGTCCACTTGCCACACGGCACTTGCGTGCGTTTTTGTGCGCGGATACCGGCAGTAAATTACGTTTGCTGCAATTGATGTTGCACTCGCTACATATTCCGTTCTCTTCTGCTTCCAGGTGGGATATTCCTGCTGCTGGGCTACAGTGCCGCCGACGAGGCGCTGCTGAGGCCCCACACCAACCTGGGGGTGCAGGATGCCGTGCGAGCCCTGCAGCAGTACGTAACCGCATACATCGATAATCAGGTAAGCCGCCGGTCGAGCGAGCGCATAATAAAGTATGGCCAGCAATATATTAATTGCATTCCGTTGCCGGCTTACTCCACCCCCGTTGCAGACCCAGTGCACCCTCACCTTGTTCAATATGACCGAGGAGAACATCATCATTGCTGCGCGTCTGCCGCACGACGGCAAACTGAAGGATATTGAGCTGCTTCGCAAGGAGAAGGTTCGTAGAGATGCCACGGGCAGAAACACAGAGAAAATATCAATAATAACAGAGTTTGTTTAAACATTATCAAAAATAACCATAGTTAAAAACCACAACCAAACAATTTTATATTAATCACTCGAAAAAGTGTCTTAAATAAGACAATTATATTTCGAAAATCGTATGCGTTAATTTCAGCAATAAATGTTTTTTTAATTAGAAAGGATTTTTAAAGGACTCTTAAATAGTTCATGATGCCCTAGCCGATAAATTCCATTTCAAATTAATGAAAAACTTTTAGAAATAATTGTTATTCTGTTACAAAAACAAAGAACCAGTTTTAAAAAATCTAAAATCAAGAAATAAAATATTGTAAGTTCGTTAGATCTCACTTTCAAATTACTAAGCTTTCGTGTATATTTTAAAAATGCATTATTACTTACATCAAAGTCCAGTTTTCAGTCAAAAAAATATTACCAGTATTTTTTAAAAAAATAATAATGATTAAAAATAAGTATAAATATTAATGATTAAAATAAATTTTATTAATAAAATCCAACTAATACTATTTGCGATGAAGTTCAGTTGGCTAGACCACTACATTTTTTCTGTGTGCCTAACATCCGCAAATCAATTTTCTCAACTAATCCAATCGACGACTATTACTGCTTATCTGGCTGTTTGCAGGACGAGTGCACCGCGATACTGAAGACCATCAGTCATCAAATCAATAGCGAGCACAGTGAGCTCCAATCCCACCGACTGCTGAGCATTTTCAAAATGTCCGAGGTCGAGGTCGTTTGGCCGGAGAGCACCAGTGCGGCGGCCCGGAGTGGACATGGTCCGGGCCAGTTTGCCGGATGCCAATGCCACCGGCTGCTGTACGCGGCGATGCTCGCGCTGGCGTATCTTTCCAGCTGGACAACACTGCGTATGAGCGATGTGGCGACATGACAGCCGCATAGCTGAAGGATTAGAGCAAGGACAATTGCATAACTGTACGTAGTAGATATTTGTAGGGGGATCATCGGTGGGAAACAGCGCCAGGCGAGTTACGATATGTGGAGCGATAGCGATAACTATAAACTATAATGATATGGTGCATACTCTTAGGCGCCGCACATGGCATATAGCATAATCATAATGTGTTGTATACATCTAGGGGCAGGTTCTGTGTTTAGCTGCAATTTTTGTGAAGCTTTGTTGTTAACCCTTGACGATGTTGCTGTCTCTTTTGATACGTACATATGTAAAGCATTATGGGATATATAAAACTTGTAGAACATACGGCTAGAAAACTTATCTAGATTAATCTATAATTTAAAGTGAAAGGAAACTGCTGTCTACATAATAATATTGTTAGCAAATAACAGAGACAAACTCGATAGTTGGATTTGATGTGGCGTGTATATAGAAGGCATACGTATTAAGTACTATCCGTAGCTAGTGGTTTATACGGCAAATAATACACACAATTCCTATCCGTCTGTCCGTTCATCATTATCGCACCCAAACACATACAACATTCAATAATTACCGCCAATTTCATCGCTGTTATTGTTTGCTTTTTAAGCTCTATAAAGTTCTTGGCTGCCCCAATTAAAAGGAATTATTAACCGCCTTAACAGTGTTTACTTTGTTAAAGGATGTGAGTGCCTCTTCTGGATATGCCGGCTTCCTTTTGATTTTTAATTACATTTTAATGTGCCCTGGCCTCACCATTTTTCCTTCTGCCGGGCAAACAAATAATAGTCAGGCGTGCGAATGAACTCATTTAACACTCGCATTCACGGTTGAGCGTGCATAACGTTATTGTTAATTTATTTCATAGTTTCCGTTTCGTCTGGAGGCGCGAAACAATTACGGTTTCATTATCAATTATGCGTTCTGCATTTCGATTGTTGCCACAATTTCACCGGGCCGAAGGCCGTGACCTCGCCTCGTTTCAACAGGTTTCATTGCTTCCTCCAAAATCCTGATTACCTTTTCAGTTCGCTGTACATACTCTTACCACTTTGAACTCAATTTACGTAAATAAATACTAACAGTACATATCAATATGAACACCTAAACGAGTTTTACACAGTAACAAAATTCTTACAATGTCCCTCGATTGCTCGAATCTTTTGTACATAGTTCTTTATATGAAAACTATACATAGTATTTACAACGATATACAACAAGTAAAAACACGCCTAAGTCAACCTTATGAACTATTTTATGAATACTTGATTCTCTTAACAAAAAAGATAGCATGAACTGTATATGGAAAGAAACTTCAGTTGAGCCTTATATAAAGTATGTAAAAAGGAGGAAAGTAGCTATTGTAAATAAAAGAAGAAAAAACACCTGAGTGAATGGAGCCTCTATGAATATTAATGGAGTGTTTGACATATAGACACATGCACTACACACTTTAAGTCTAAGCTTGACCATTTGAAAGTAAACTTGTAAAAGTTTGAAGTATGCGCATATTGAAAATGGTCACAATCATGAAAAAATGTCTTCCTTAATGCATATACTCGGCGATATGTATTATGTTTATACACATAAATATATATACACATTCTAACCTATACGATATCTGGCAAGTACCCAGCCTGCGCTTCAGTTAGACGAAAGATAATGTAATATAGACACCAAGGGCTAAAACATAACTCTATCGAATATCCTTGCAAATTATAACACTGTTGACACAAATTAATACTAACCGCAGCATATCAAAGTCAAATATACCCCTAAATATATATAATTATAATGAAATATACATATGCGTAAAGTTATAAACGTTAGAAAGCATTGAAAACTACTTTAATAGTCTCTAGAGAAAGCAACGCTTTAACCTAAAACAACAAGCAGCAAAAACAGAAATGTGTAAAGTTTATTGGAAACCTGCTTAAAAAATCTTCTAGCTAAATATTAGACGAATTTAAGGCTATTAACTTATTAAAGGAATAGGGCAAATTAGTAGAATTGTTGGGGCATTGGATTTCAGTTCATTTGCTATCCTATCCATATCGTTTAATGGCCAACGAAAGCAGTAACTAAGTCGTTATAGTTTTGGAGCATATCAGTGGCAGGTCGAGCGTATTGTTTCATCTCATTCCCTCACTTTCAGGGTGCGGACAAAGCGTAGCTACAATGTAAAGTACCGTTAAAGTAAAAAGATAAATAAAAATGAAAAACGAAAAACGAAAAATGAAAAACAAGAAGTAAATGAAGAATATTACAAAATAGTCGCATTAATGTAAAAAGCAAGCAAAATGCAAAAGGAAAACTAGCACTCAAAAAGCAATCTGTAGCATGGCGGATAGCGAATCAGAAAGGCATCGCAATAAACGTAAAACAGAGGAAATACTTTGAAAATTATGCATGAGGAATACGAGAGCCATACTTCATGTTTAAAGCTGTAAGTTGAAACCTACAAAGTAAATGATATATATACGATATGTTAGGAATGCATACGAGTGTGTGTTTGTAAGTAAGCGGGCTTTATGTTAGCGTATACAACCCAGTTGAGGTGCATGGATAAAGATAAATTTAAATATAAATTATGGAATAATGCAAAGCGAATGAAAACCAAGCGATACGTCGTGGCATATTTGTAATAAAAACAATGTAAGTGAAACAACATGAACAAGAGCAAAAAATAAAGAAAACCAAAAAATATAGAAAGTAAATGATGGAGTTTGATTACATTTTCTCAGCTGGAATTAACCGTGGTGTAAGTATAAACCTGGTATTCAAGTTTTAATTTTCTGATTTTACTAGTATTTATCAGATATCTTTTTATACAAAATATTTCTCACTTGAAAATATGACATTCTATTTTAAAAACTTATTGATGAAATATAATTGGTAAATATAAACTTTAAGTTATTTCTTATGGCCAAGATATAATTGTTTGTTGTGCGTTCTAAAACATGGCAAAATGTATTCAAAATGAAATAAGGTCGAATCAAATCGGTCTTTATCTGTTAAAGGCTTTAGTGTTTGACTTCTCCGTGCTAAAAGTTTTTCTGGAACACATGACTCTCGATGTGCACTTCATTATTGACCCCCAAAAAGCCTCCCAGCGATCGGCAACTAAGTATGTGACACTATCGAAGCGAACAAAGCCAGGCAGACAATAGCGGGCCATGGAGTGCTGGCACTGGAAGAAACAGGGGCGGTAAACAACAAAGACAGCGCAATATGAAGAAGACCTGCACACTCACCAACAAACCAGGGTAAACAAGGCCAAAAAGGCGGCACCAGAAAAGCATGAGCAAAACGAACTGGCTAAAGAATGAAAAGAAAAGCCAACCACACAATGCTTTTGTATGTGGGGGCATGGAACAAAAGATGAGCCGAAGACAAAGACACTTGCTCAAGGCAACGCCGTTTCATGGCTTAAACTCAAGTTCCCTGGGAACCACTCGACTGCACTCCACACACCCACAAGCACGAGCACATCCACAAACACATCCACAAACACACCCATACTCGAACAACAAAGAGTAAGGTCAATCATTGGAATTTTGCCAGTTAATTCGCATACAAAAGGCGGTGGCCCAGAAGAGAACGAAAATAACACGACCTCCTTCCTTCCTTCCTTCTTGTTTGCCCCTCTGCCTCCCTGCCTGCCCCCTTTTGACCCGCCACGCCCATTGGCATGCTGAGTTTGGCATTTATACTTCCACTTAATTAGGTAATAAATGATTGAAGAAATTATGTCTAGACGTGAGGACAATTCCGATGCCTTGGCTTAAACTCACACACACTCAGCAAATTCATTCTCGGCACGTGAGGGGTTGAAATGTTGCGAATTTCCACACAATCACACATGCTACTCTGTGACATCCATTTGAATAGGATTCGTATTTTATTCTCGCCGCCCTGCCCGTGATTTGAAAGCAAGCATAAATTGTAAACAATTTCTTTTTGATTCAATTTGTATAACCTGCTGCCGCTAAGTGGCAATGCTTTTATACAAAGCACCTGCACAGGCATATGTATTTATTTCGCATTTGATAAAGCGTTCACAGGACGAACGATGCCTGAATAGCAAAACTGGGAATGGTACATAATGAAAGCGGGGACGGGGCGGATACGCGATGCGGGTTGCCAGTTCATTAATATGGTGCACATGCTGAAGGTCGATGATGTGAGCAATGTTCATATAAACAAATAAACATATACTACGAAAAATTGGTTACAAGTTCGGTATTTTATAATAGACTAACCAATACAAAAATTGTATGGTAATTATCGGAACATAAGAAAGCTTTCTTAGTTGTAAAGCGTAGACTATAGAAGAATAAATAAATAGGACATATTCAATTAGGGTCTGTATATTTTCTTTAACTATATACATTAATTTCTGTAATTCGTAATTAAATTCAAAATATTTGTTAACAAGTTTTTAATTTTTGAAAAAAAACACTGTGAACCACTCAAATATCTGCAAAATGTTCGAATATTGTTTTAATATTTTTAAGAAAAAAAACAATTTTTATAAGGAAATCATGAATGTGTTCAGTTTTAATTTCTCTGTAAAGGAGAAGTCATGGCTGTTGTTGCACGCACATTTATCAGGCGGCTATGATTACGTGTTTGCCATTTTATTGCTAAAACTGTTGCGCCTCTTTGTGTGCTTCAGTAGCGCCCTCTCTTTCGCTCCACTTCGCCCCGTCTCTTTCTCCGGGGGAAAGTGGGCCTCTGTCTGTTTGTGACTTTGTTGCCGCTGCTGGCTTTGTTCTACTTGGAATTGCCTTTTATTTTGTGCTAATTGAAGCTGCTGCCATCATATTTTTTCCCCCCAGCACATCTCCCACACACTCACACACACACATGTTTGCCGTTTGGCTTTATTGCCGCATCTATGTTTTGCCTGTTTTTGCAATTTTAATTAAAAACGTGTTTATAACAGCGCAAAATGCTTATGAGTGAGCAGAATAATTTATTTCGAATACACACATTATAGAAATAGAAGTAAGTGCACTGCGTCGTTTGTTTTGAAACAGTCTAATTAGTGGCAATTTTCTATTTGGTTTTCTATTTCTCTCAAAGGACTAGATTAATTAAACGTAAAGAACATGGTTACATTTTGATTACCTTCCTTAAAATAGTTTTTCCCTGTAAAAAATAATATAACCTTATTATTAAGTCTAAGAATCTTATATATAAAGTATTTTTTACGTTTATGATAGAAAATGTTCATGAAACTGATGTTTTTTATTTTAATTTTTACAAACAAATCATAAACTTTTCCTTTTGAAATTTATATATTGAATATTGTTAGGGTAACTTGTATCGGTATTAAAACTATTTTTAACGAAGGAACTATTTCATTAATTACCCGATATCGACAAGCCAAAAAAAGGGGTTTAGTTAAAGTTAAGTTAAAATTCCTGTCGACATGGCCTGAAAGTATGCAACATTTTCCGCTGCAATTTATTGCACATAAGGTGGCGAACACACACTACCGCACACACACCCCTTGCCACATTTCGAATTCCTTTGCATAACGCTGTGGGGAATGTATATTGCCAGGATGCCGAAAGAAGAGCCACGGCCACAAGGAAATATGCATTGCAGCATCCTCAGCTGGAGACGCCTCAACTTCAGAATCAGCCTCAGCCACAGCACAAAGAATTCAATTGAATTGATATTCAAATGCGCTTTGCCAGCAGAGGCATCCATTATTTGTCGATTTTACACATGGCACATGGCAAATGTAAGCGAAAAATGTACGGGTCGGAGAAAAAGGAAAGAAGCCATGCATATAGAGGTATTCCAGGAAAGTGCGAAATCCCAGTTCTAGTTTTCATTAGTGCATTTTTACCCACTCCCCCACGCCAATGATCAGTGAGCCCTTTTTGATGGCTTCGATTGCTCCGGCGGACTGTGAACTATTTTTACGCCATTTGCCAAAAAGCCAGCGAACCAGCACCTTTGGCCCAGGCAAATGCAACAAAACATGGCCAGGACGCCGAGGAGCTGCATTTGCATAACGCTCTTCCCCAAGGAACAAAAAGAAGGGCTGCAGGAATGGAAAAAGGCTCCACCGAAGAAAAAACCTTACCGGAAAAGTAATATTGCAATATTTTGTAATTTTTTCACAGAGTCGAAAGCAATAATAAAATCAACGAGAATGGCAAACTATTTAATGGAAAACATACAACATATTAATTGTTGAAAACATAGATGCCAAAAAAATAATAACGGTTTTTTTTAAAAAACTTTTTTAGGTGATAATTCGAAAAATTGATCAATTTATTTTCTTCGAAGATATATAGACATCTTAGACTTTATTATCGGGTACTATATTAAATGTCATCCAAAAACTTTTCAATAATAAAATCTAATAATAAGCTAACATAGGATTATCATTACTTACATTAAAATGGATGTCTTCTGATGTCCAAAGTATTATGAACAACTTTCAAAACGATGAATTATTTATTTTTCCGTGTACAATCGAAGACAGATAGACAGGCTCAGGCTCAGCGTTCGATGCGCGCCAGACAAGCAGCCAAGTGCAGAAATAACACAAAATAGATGGCAATGCGATGGGGGAAAATAATAGAGGCGGAATGGGAACAAAAAAAGTATATGCATGCTCCTTTGTACGTATGAACGTAAGAAAAACTGCTAAGGAGCCAAATACTCAAGCATTTGCAAACGCGGCAAAGTAGCGAAAATTTGCAAATTGATTGCATTCCTGTGCCTGGGCTCCGGATCGAGCTAGAGCTCAAATATGAAATCTTGGAGGAGTGCAAATTTTGCACATTTTTTCTGGCAACTTTGGGAATGTGTTTTTCAGCTTGATTTTTTGGCCGAAATCGAAGGAGAAACAGAATCGGAAAAACAAAAGCCAAGTAACTAGGCTGGTGCCCAACATGCAAGTTTATTACATTCCTCACTCCATTTGAATGGTCCTGCTGCTTATTCGGCGCAAATCGAATTATGCAAATCTCCAGTTTAATTACGGCCAGCAGAGCTCAACTTTAAATCAATTTTTTTATTCGTATATTCTGTCCTGCTACTGTTCTTATTTCTTATTTTATTCGTGTGCATCATTTGAGCGGCAAGCCTTATAAAATATTCAAACACTTTGACACACTTTGTCTGCCGGAAAGAGCAGAGTGTTTGAGGAGCAGACACAAAACCCAAACGGAACAAGGCAAATTCTGTTGGCCAACAAAATGACACTTAGTGCAAAAACAGGAGAACACATGCCTAATAAATAATTCAGTGCGCAACAAGCGGACAACAAGCGCACTTGTGGCACCACTGGAACACCACTGACCCACCATTGCCACCTCCGTTTGCCCGGCCATCCCCATTGCCAGCTGTTCGGACTGAGCCCATCCAAATTCACACAAGATTGAAATCCAGTCGGATGTGTCCGCTCAAGTGTTGCGTGTTATGCGATGTCCTTCAAGACGGACGTTATGCCAAAGTCCGGCGGTCCGGAGATACGTATGCGGGTCATTTGCCGGGCGAATGAACCAAGATGAGGAGTCGCAATATATTTGAGGGATGCTGCCACGACAGAGAAATCTCGTTGTGTTCAAAAGAAGCAAACAATTCAATAAAATAACACGAAAATCTAATACAGAGACACGGAAATGCTTTTAGTCTGGCCGAAACTCGTCAAAATATAAACCGGTCATCGTTTTACCCCCCATACCAC